CTATTAAAATTAAGGCCCTTTGGTAGTCAATCAATAGCCACTTAAGGGACTCAACTCGCCAGCTCCCTGATTACCTGCCTCCCTGATAGGTGACACTCGTGGCTGGTTTCCAAACTGGGAAACCATGGTGACCTGCCGAGTTGGGGGCCAATCTCAGGACAATCAGAGACACGGATGGCAGGAAAGGGCATGGTACCTGAAAGTTGTAACCCTGCCATTGACTCTGACCCTCTCTTCCCACGAGCTCCACTTGATGACCAAATCAAGGATCAGGATTAGTAACCAGAGGAAGACTTCCTGCTGATTAGTCATACCTAGCAAGAAGGAAGATGGTTGTGGTTGTTGGAAACAAGTCATTTCAGCACCAACATTCATACAGGAGTTCCACAATGTTGTGGCTGAGACCAAAGCTTCTTCAGCTGCTTCAGCAATGACTTTTCACCAACAGAAGGCCAGAAAATGAATGTTCTTTGATGATTACCCACTGTTTCAGTAGCACTGGTACCACTCCCGAAGCAATCTTTTTATAAGCAGCAAGAGCTGGACAACTTTCGGGCTTCACTGGAAAGTAGCAACATGAGCTGCACAAAAGTGCCAGACAATGATGACCCCCAACAAGAAAGAATACTTAATGCATCACCACCACTGCATTCTCTACCACAAATACTGTGGCTATAAGAGCAGGTTGGAAACTGGGAATTCTCGGCAAATAACTCATTTCCTGGCAATCGGTATCTGATGGAGGTTCTGCACACAATCCCCAACCCACAAAACATGCTGTGGCTTGGGTTCTCTGTGATGCTATGATTCTGCAGTGCAGTGGCTTAGTGGTTAGCACTGCTGCCTCACAGTGCCAGGGACCTAGGTTCAATTCTACCCTTGGGCGACCGTCTGTGTGGAGTTTGTGCATTCTCCCCGTGTCTGTGTGGGTTTGCTCTGGTTTCCTCCCACAGTCCAAAGATGTGCAGGGTAGGTGGATTGGCCATGCTAAATTGCCCGTAGTGTCCAGGGATGTTTAGGTTAGGTGGGTTAGACATGGGGAAATGCAGGGTTCGGGGAATGAGTTGGGGTGGGATGCTCTTCGGAGGGGTGTGGGCTTGTTGGGCCGAATGGCCTGTTTCCACACTGTAGGGATTCTATGATTCTGACAGTGGAAGGGGTGGGGAAGAGAAGGGGTCGATATCCTCCTGGCACTGCTGGTGCTCTTTCAGCATTTCATGCCTAAAATCTGTATACATCACAACACAATGACCATCCATGTAACAGATAGTTGCATGAGAACAGAGTGTTTAAAAAAAAATTCATGGGAGGAAATGAAACAGAACAAGGAAGTAGGAGTTAGGAAGAATGAATGTGTGAAAGTTTCTCCAGCCAGTAGGCGAGACCCGTTGAAGCTACAACAGATTCTGTCAAATGTTTCTTTTTCATATATCATTCATGTAATGTGGGCATCGCTGACTGGGCGAACATTTATAGCCAGTCTCTGAATGCTCTTGAGAATGTGGTGCTGAGCTGCCAACTTGAACTGCTGCAGTCCATGTGTTATAGGTAGACACACAATGCTGTTATGGAGGGAGTTCCAGGGTTTTGACCTAGCAACACTGAAGGAACGGTGACATATTTCCAGTTCAGGATGGTGAGGGAAACTTGTGGCTTTGGAAGATACTATTGATGAGGCCTTAGTGAGCCACAGCACTTGTAGATGGTCCACACTGTGTTGGAGGTGAAAGAAGAGAGAGTTGAAGGTGATGGATGTGGTGCCATACAAGTGGGCTGCTTTGTCCTGGATGACGTCAAGCTTCTTGAGTGTTGTTTGAGCTGCACCCATTCAAGCAAGTGGGGAGTATTCCATCACACTCCTGACTTGTGCCTTGTAGATGGTTTTGATGGCTTTGGGGAGTCAGAATTTGTAATTTCTGACCAGCTCTTCTAGCGATAGTATTTATATAGCCAGTGCAGTTCAGTTTCTAGTAAATGGTAATCCCCAGACTGTTGATGATGGGGGATTCAGTGATGGTAATGCCATTAAACATCAAGGAATGATGGTTAGATTCTCTTTTGTTGGAAATGATTATTGCCTGGCACTGGTGTGGTGTAAATGTAACTTGCCACTTATCAGCCCAAGCTTGGATGTTGCCTACATTTTGCTGCACATAGACATGGACAATTTCAACAACTGAGAGTCATAAAAGGTGCTGAACATTGTGCAATCAACAGCGAACATCCCCTGTTCTGTTCTTGTGAGAGAGGAAAAGCCACTGATGAAGCAGGACTGCAAAGCTTAGTTCTGATTCAATAGTTTTAGGATCTTGTCTTGTCTGTTGCATTCTACTTCTGCTGTTTGGCATGCAAGTAATTCCATGTTGCAGCTTCACTAGATTGACAGCTCATTGTTATAAATGCCTGGTGCTGCTCCTGGCATCTCCACCTGCATTGTTCGTTGAACCAGTGTTGATCTCCAGGCTTGTTTTCTCTGGTAGGATGCTGGATATACCAGGCCATGAGATTATAAATTATGGTAGAATACAATTCTGCTGCTGCTGATGATTCACATACCTCAAGATGGTTGATTTTGAGTTGCTAGATCTGTACAAATCTATCCCGTTTAGCATGGTACTGGTACCACACCACACAATGTATCCTCAATGTGAAGATAGACTTCTTCTCCACAAGGACTTTGAGGTAGTCACTCCTACTGTCACGGTAGTTATTGAGACACAGACCTGTGACAGGTAGATTGGCGTGACAAGGACAAGTGAATTTTTCCTCATGTTGGTTCCCTTACTCCTGCTGCAGACCCAGACTAGCAGCTTTGTCACTTAGGATTTGGCTAGCTTGGTCAGTAAAGGTACTGCCAAGCCACTCTTGGTGATAGACATTGAAATCTCCCACTCAGAGTACATTCTGTGCCCTCTCCACCCTTAGTACTTCCTGTAAATGGTGTTCAACAAGCAGGAATACTCTTCATCAGTTGGGGGTGGGGATGTGGTTGTGGGGGGGGGGGAGGAGGAGGAGGGCAGTTTGTTTCCTTGTCCATGTTTGCCCTGATAGCATGAGATCTCATGGGGTCCAGGACCAATATTGAGAACTCCCATAGCAACTCTTTCCTGACTGTATACCACTGTACCACAATGCCTGGTGGCTCCATCCTACTGGTGGGAGAGGGCATAGGACATATCCAGGGATGGTGGTAGTGATATCTGGAATATTGCCAGTAAGGTGAGTGTGACTGTGCCTGGTTGTTGCTTGACTGGTTTGTTAGTTAGCTCTCTCAATTTTGGCACTAACCACCAGGTTTGGTATGGAGGACCTTTTAGGGCTGAATTTGCTACTGTTGTTTCAGTGCTTACTTTAATGCTAGGTAGCCTTTTGTTTAGGGTTTGTAGCAGTTTGGTATAATGTGTGGCCTGTTAGACCAATTCAGAGGGCAGTTAATAGTGAACCACATTGCCGGGAATCTGGAGTCCCATGCAGGATGGACCAGGTAAGGAGAGCAGATTTTCTTCCCTAAAAGACATTCATGAACCAGATGGATTTTTATAATAATCAACAGTGATTACATGGTTGTCATTAGGCCATCTTTTAATTCCAGATTCTTCTTTATTCACTTCAAATTTTACCAATTGACACAGTGAGAATTATATCCCTCTCCCCACAACAGTAACCTGGTGTTGACAACCTTTCATCAGAGCTCACCACCACTTCAAGGGCAGGTAGAGATGTACAAGATTTTGGGTTTTGCCCCAATTTTAATTGTGAAACTTAATTCAATTACAATTATAGACCGAGTTGAAAGGACCAATCTAAAGATTTATTAATACTGATTAGTTACCAGATCCATTCCAGGGAAAAGTTTGTTTCACATGTTTTGCAGACGTAATTAAGTTTATCAAAACAAGTATAAAAGAGATAATATTAAAAAAAACAGTGATTTTCAATCAATCCACTTCAGGACACCAGCTCGTGGTTTCTGACTGACAAAGCACTTGTCTCTTGTTCTGTTCTGTTTTTTTGACTGGCGTTGTCCTTCTGTCTTCAGACTTTTCTTCTGTGCATTAGTCCACCAAGAATTGCTGCTATTAGCCCTAGTCGCCACTATCTTCTCAGATTAATTTATCTTTTTTTTAATCTTGAAGTGCTCTTACACACAACACAATAGTTTTTCCTATCACCAAATCACCCGTTGTATTTTTTTCCATCTATTAACTAGGAAGTCACCATGTTGTCCAATTGAATAAGTTAGGTACAAAACTTGTTAAGGGCAATGCAAGCCATCAAAGGTGAGGGAGAGGTAAGGAGAGAGGGAGGGACTAAATCAAAATGGATTTGGAAGGGGCTCCTCGTAGTAATCAGAAGCATCCGGAGTTCTAATTGCCTTACCAAGGGATGGTCAGCATATCATTTTGGCTACGTAGTGTGTGTCCACCTTCCTGATATCACATCCTGCTATCTCCTTATTCGTTCCTTAAAATGTCAATCAGATCGCTTTTATGATAGTTTGTCCTTCAGCTTCCTAACTTCATAAATCTTTACAAAGACAATGTGGAACTAGTAGAATACTTTGTGTGTTTGCTGAGAGTATATGGTATCACCCTTTAATGACTGATAACATCTCAACTGTCCCAATTGATACATCTAAGTGTTCTGGAAAATTCCAAAACCTGTCCTCCATTACTTATCCTTGAACTAAAAAAATTGTGCATCCCAAAATAACTATTGATGCCTAAAATAGATTAAAGCTCGGACAAAACTAATATACATAGGCCGATTTACAAAATTAAACCCATATAAATCCTAGCTGTGTATTTGATTATAAGTTTTCTTTTATCTCAACCATTTTCACAATTTTTATCCTGATGTCTGCATGAGCTTGAGCCATATAAAAAAAAAGGAAGCCATAAACGCATTACCTTAGTTCTAACCTGGACCATATGACTTTTCTTCCTTTAAGAAAGTGTTTTACAACAAAGCACAATATCATTTGAGTCCTCACTTGTTTAATCAAGTCAAAATTATTGGTTATTACTCAATCCTGCAGATGGGTTATGGCTATCAACCTTGACAGTGTTGACATCCCAAAAGTAAGAAAATTGAATTCAGTCAGTCCGTTTCTATCCTTTTCAATTTCCAAAGGAAGATAAATTGTAAAGGAGATATGGAATGAGTCAGACAGTACTTATAGAGAGGACAGAGAGATTCATGCTTCAGATGTAACATCTATTTCTACTTGTTGATAATTCCCAGTTTTCATTTTTTTCTGTTAAAGTTTGTTTCAATTGTAAAATGGATTCATAAAATTATATATTTAATTTTACAGTTACCACACGAAATATAATCTCTGCTTGGACATGGGTGATGATAAGTACATTTATTATTGAAGGTAAGCTATGCATGACATAAATATTTTAGTGATCTTCTCCGACGCATGGATATGTTTCATAGTTCAACTTCTGGTGTACTCACAGAACAGCTCTACCTTTCTGCTTCTGTTTGACATTGTATCTTTTTGTAACTTGTGAGTATCTCTGTCATTCTATTTTAATGGAATTCTGCATTGGCTATCAGCTACTATTTGCAAGTGGAAAAGCAGTGGCGCGGTGGCTCAGTGGTTAGCACTGCTGCCTCTCAGAGCCAGGGACCCGGGTTCAATTCCACCCTTGGGTGACTATCTCTGTGGAGTCTGCACATTCTCCCTATGTCTGCATGGGATTCCTCTGGGTGTTCCAGTTTCTTCCCACAGCCCAAAGATGTATGGGTTAGGTGGATTGGACATGTTAAATTGCCCCTAGTGTCCAAGGTTATGTAGGCTAGGTGGAATGCTAGCCATGGGAAATGCAGGGTCGTGAGGTGGGTCTGAGTGGTGTTCTCCTCCAATGGCCAGTATTGAAATGATGGTCCAAATGGACTGCTTCCACACTGTAGGGATTCTATGAATTTATCATTTGGATGATATGTCTCCAGACTGATCGATCTCCTTCTCCTGAGTTTGGTTTTTTTGATTCATTTAGCTAAAATTTACATTTCGGAAGATTCACTACAATAGTGGTTGCATTTCAAAATTTCTTCATCAACTCTATAACACTTAAGACATTCTGAGGTCAAGAAAGATGCCATATAAATGTAAGATGTTCCTTCTTTCCTCTGACATTGCACTACAATCTGAGTCAGCAGCAGAGGTTTCAGAAATTAAGCAGGAAAACTAAAGTTTAACAAGAAGTCAAAAATAGAGATTGCTGGTAAAGCTCAGCAGGTCTGGCAGCATTTGTGAAGAGAAATCAGAGTTAACGTTTTGGGTCAGGTGACCCTTCCTCAGAAGTTTACAGCATCCACAATTGTTTTGGTTTTTATTTAACAAGAAGTCACTTGTTGTAGGGTAGAAGTGGAGCCATTGTTCGCACACTTTTAAAAGCATTTATTTTGTTGCACATTGTGAGCTTGTAGCTCCTAATGTTACCAGCACAGTTTCTGTCTGGGACAATTTAAAGTGGCAGAAAGAATCCTCAGATAATTTCCACTACCTGTACCCATTCGAACACAACTGACATATATATAACAGGTACAGTCTGTGAGAAAAAGAATGTAAAATGGAAAGCAAGTGTTAGAAAATGAAAGAGAATAATAAGTTAGAAGTTAGAATGAAAGAATGTGTGAAAAAGAAAGGAACGGATTAGATCATAAGACTTTGGAGTGGACTTAGCTCATTCGGCCCATCAAGTTTGCTCTACCATTTGATCGTGGCTGATATGTTTCTCAACCCCATTCTCCTGCTTTCTTCAGGTAACATTTGATCCCCTTACCAATCAAAAGTCTATCTATTTCTTGTCTAAAATATACTCAATGACTTGGCCTCCACAACCTTCTGTGGCAATGAGTTCCACAGATTAGCTACTCTCTGGCTGAAGAAATTTCTCCTCATCTCACGTCTAAAGGATCCTTCTTTCACTCTGAGGCTGTGATCTCAGGTCCTAATCTCTCCTACTTGTGGAAACATCTTCTCGACATCCATTTCATCCAGGCCTTTCAGTATTCTGTATGCTTCAATGAGATACCCCCTTCTAAACTCCATTGAGTACAGACCCAGAATCCTAAACTGCTCCTCATATGAGAAACCCTTCATCCCCGGGATCATTCTTGTAAACGTCCTCTGGACCCCTCCAAGACTAGTACATTCTTTAGATACAGGGCCCAAAACTGCTCTCAATATTCCAAATGCGGTCTAACTGGAGCCTTATACAGCCTTAGCAGTTCATCATTGCTCTTGTATTCTAGCCCTCTTGAGATGTGTGCAAACACTGAATATGCCTTTGTAACTGTCAATTGAATTTATATGTTAGCCTTAAGACAATCCTGAAACAGGATTCCAAATCCCAAGTCGGATTTCTGAAGCGTTTCCCCATTTAGAACATAGTCCATACTTTTATGTTCCTGTCAAAGTACATAGCCTCACACTTTCTGACATTCTGTTCCATCTTTCATTTCTTTGCCCACTCTCCTAACCTGTCCTAGTCCTTCTGCAACCTCCCAACTTCGTCAACACGACCTGACCCTCCACCTATCTTTGTGTCATCTGCAACAATGTCCTCAGTTCCTTCATCCAGACCGTTAATGTATAATGTGTATAGTTGTAGTCCCAATACTGACCCCTGTGGAACTCCACTAGTCACCAGCTGCCATCCCGAAAAATACCTTTTTATCCCCACTCTCTGCCTCCTACCAGCCAGCCAATCCTTTATCCAGGTCAGTACCTTGCCCCTAACACCATGGGTTCTTATCTTATTTAGCAGTCTCCTGTGTGGCACCTTGTCAAAGGCCTTCTGGAAATCCAAATAGTTCATATCCACTGTCTCTCCTTTGTCTAATTTGTCTCTCAAAGTTTTCTAATGGATTTGTCAGGCATGACCTCCCATTGACAAAGCCGTGCTGACTCCACCCTATTTTACCAGACACCTCCAAGTACTCCGCAATCTCATCCTTAATAATGGACTCTAAAATCTTACCAACTACCAAGGTCAGACCAACCAGCCTATAATTTTCCGTCTTCTGCCTCCTTCTCTTCTTAAATGGGGATAAGGTTATAATAGACTGGCAATAAACTCATATATTAAGTAAAAGCAGTGACAAAAGACAGTTTGGTACAGATGAACCAAAAATAATAAAAATGAAGAGTGAAGATGATAGACCTGAGAAATGGGAGAGGAAATGAATTACAGGAAATTTACATGGTACAGGTGTGACCATGGTTTGGCATTGCTGCATAATGCAAATAACATGTTTACATGGAACCTATCAATATAATTTGGAATAAGAAACTAAAGTACATTTTCTTTCCTTTTACTGGAATACTGTTCACTGACGTTATCTGTTTTCTAATATCCCACCGAAGTGAACATTCTGTATCTGACAGACTGTACAGGATACTGGAAGTGATGCCAAGACTGTTTTCAGTTGATATCCATATACATGTACTTTCCTGTAGAAAGTCACTCAATAACAATCAGGAAATGCAAAATGTCTCAACCTAACCTTTTTTCCCTAAGGAAGCCAAATTCAATTGGAGCACATCCTACTATTGGGATTGCAATCAGTAAACTTGTGCTGGGAACTGAAGCTAGAAGGTTTAGCCAGAATAAATGACTTGTACATGGTGGTACCTCATAGTGGAAAAGATCACCACATTCACAGCAACAGCGAGAATACATTACATTTATAGTAGCCTTAAATTAGTAAATTGATCCAAACCAGTTCACAGGAGCATTACAAATCCAAATCTGGTACCAGGCCATTTAAGGAGGTATTAGGGTAGAAGACCAAAAGCTTGGTCAAAGAGGGGGTTTTAATACCACCTTGAAGGAGAAAGGAGAGAGAAAGAGGGAGAGAGAAGTAGGAAAATTTAGGAGGGTGCCTTGGACATTGGCAGCTGCAATCCCAGCCACCAATGAAAATCAGTGATGAGTTAGAGGCCAGATTTTGATAAGTGCAGGGTTCTTAGAGGGCTGAAAATAAGAAGTTGGCCCTGGAGATAGAAAGAAATGAAACCCTGAAGACAACTGAAAACAAGAATGAGAATTTTAAAATTTGAGGTGATTCTGGACAGGAGCTAATGTAAGTGAAGGAGTACGGGGTAAATTGGGGTGGAAGTTGGAGCATACTAAGATAGCAAAAGAATACACAATAAATAGTAGGTTACAGATCAACTGAGAGATGTTGGAGTGCAAGTCCACAGATCACTGATTGTAGTGGGACAAGTAAGTAAGGTATTTAAGATGACATTTTGGATACTGGAAAGGTGGGATGCAAGAATAACGAGTTTGGAATTGCATAAAACATTAATTAGGCAAGAACTAGAGTACTAAGTTCATACTGCATGTGTATGTCACCTTATTACAGGAAGGATGTGATTACAGAGGCTTCTAAGGAAATTTATGAGGATGCTGCCAGGACTGGGGACTTTTGGTTATGAGGAAAAATTGAATAGGATGGTCTTGTTTATTTTAAAACAGAGGAAGCCAAGTTCAGCTTTAATTGAGGTGTCTAACATTATGCTGGACCTGGATAGAATGGATAGGAAGTACCTATTCATCTCAGCAGAGAGATCAGTAAACAGGGGGCATTGATTTAAAGACAGAAAGATAATAAGAGATTGAAGAAAAATCTTTTTCCCTGGAGGATTGTAAGGGTTGGAAACTCATGGACTGAAACAATGAAAGGGGCAGAAACTCTCATTATATTTATAAATATGTTTGGATGTGCATTTGAAGCACAGTAACCTATAGGGCTACAGACCGAGAGGTGGAAAGTGAAATTAGGCTGTAACTTATTTTCAGCTGCCTTAGATATAATGGATGAAAGGGCCACCTTTTATGCTGCAAATGTTCTGTTTGTATGGTTTTAACAAAGACATGGATATGTGTTTCAGCTGCAGCGGAGCTGAGGCAAGAAATTAGTCAAAGGATTCATCATGATTTCCCATAAAAAGACCACCTTCAACTGCTAATACTGTACTTTCAGCTGTTCCACATTTCATTCAGTAACATTGCCCAGCCATATCATTGAGTTCTAACTGTACAGTTTTAAGTGGCTTTGAAGTGCTATTTCTTTCTCTGAATCCACAGGTGAATTGAGAATGCTATGCCATGATGTTGATTCAACATCAAAAGTAGTTCAACTACAATCAACTGTATCTCTTTCTTGTGCATTACGAGAGGAGTGCCTCCAATCATTAGATGCAAATGCAAGTCACGTATTTTGGAGAATGAATGATACCCAAATTCCACGAGAACAATATTATTTCAATGCAACCGTTTCCCGGGTAACTTTAAAGACGATTGATGCAATAAGGACCTATTTGACATGTCACATTAACATCAAAGGTGCACCAAATATCCTCCACCGTTTTGAAATTGAAGCAGGATGTAAGTATTATTTTTGTAACAATGTTTGTATTACTTGTTATGCAAGTATGACGGGCCCTATGAAATAGAATTTTTAACATAGCTGAATAGAACATGTAAACATATTTAATGTCAGTTTATTATCTAATGAAACCTCAAATAAAGAAATACCAAGTTCTGGAAACAATCCGTATAGTTGTTGGTATCTCAATAATGTGTAAAACTTTGCTTTTGTGGATGAAAGTCAAAGACTGGGATGCATATAAAACAAAGTTGTCCACAGTTATAGCCCTATTGTGGTACATATAGGGTTAAGCCCAGATTCACACAACAGGGATGCAGGCAGCATTTATTGCCCATCCTTAATTGCCCTGGAGGAGGTCATGTTGATTTGATACAATGACATCAGATTATAGAGAATGGGTCCAAAAATGGCCAAATAAGAGATGGAATTTGGATCCATGAGACTTCCCCTCCAATTCATTTACAACGTAACACTGTTTAAACAGATTTGATGAAGTTCTTGCCTGCATTCCATCTTCTTGGGGTGTAGGGCTGAACAATTCTCAGGCTATCCAGGAAATTGGACTCATTGCTGTAGAAATCTATTATAGCTGGTTTGTGCACATAAAAAATGAAGACTAAAGCTTGCCAAACATTGGACTTTGAGCTACATTGCTTTAATTGGGTTGAACTACAGCATCAGAAAGGCTCTAGAAAGAAGGAATCAAGAACAAAATACTCGAGGTGCTGGAAATCTGGAGTCTGAACATAAAATGTCAGAAATACTGAATGGGTCTGCTAGCACAGGTTGGGGGAGAAACAGGTGAAAGGTTATTGGATTGAAATGCCAACTCTGCTTCTATCTCCACAGATGTTGTCCAACCTGCTGAGTATTTTCAGCATATTCTGCCCTTATATATATATATATATATATATATATAAAAAAAGCAACAATCCCAGAGAGATAAAGCTTATGACCTTCTCCATGCTGTCACTTTAATGTTGTTTTTGAGATGTCTTAAAGAGTAACAAACCTTTGGTTCTTTAAAGTTCTATTCCTTCTCCATGGAAGGACCACAGATTTATAATGATTGAATGCAATATGCTGCTGGAGTGGATATCTCCATTATGCCTCCATAGCCACAGATCATCTAACCACGTACCGTAATAACCCCGTCTGAAGGCCATCAGAAGTCTCACTCAGCTACATTTGTTTTGCAATTTATTCCTTAAATGAGGATATTACAAATTATGTATACTACTGTCTTCTGAAATCCAAGTTGAACTGGACTCATAAACGTTTTCTATTCAATCCTTGGGTTCACTTCCAAATTGTAATTGTCCAACATAAGGCACAAGACAGTGAATGAACACTGAATGTTGTACATAGCTGTGGCCTGAAATGCTGATCACTAAAGAACAGTCTTGGGGTACAACTGAGAGTGTGGCATTGATTCATATAAAAGAGTTAAGGCTTTGGGGAAGAAGAAGCAAAATAAATACTTTGACTAAAAAAAATGCAAGAACTGTCGATGCTGTAAATCAGAAACAAAAACAGAAATTGATGGAAAAGCTCAGCAGGTCTGGCAGTATCTGTGGAGAGAAATCAGAGTTAACGTTTTGCGTCCAGTGACCCTTCCTCAGAACCTAAATACTTTGACTAGTTAGCCTTGAATTAATCTTTTCAAGATTGCATCTAGTTTAAAGTTTCATTCTGAAATAACAGTTCCTTCCTGTATTAATTGGAAATTAATCGCTTTTCATTTGGGCAAGTGAGCATGTTTAGTGGCTGCAATGTGCCAGCCTGCTAGGAATGCTGCTCCAAAGGGGATCATCAGGAAGGCAGCCAGGAAGTTGACTTCTGGCATATTATTATATTCCTGCAGAATAAAAGCAATAAACTCCAAATTCTCTTTTTATATTCTCTTATTCCTGAAATTGTAGTTTGGATACATACAATTTTTCCTCTAAGCCAAGCAGAAAAATTCATTGCAATTGTGTGTACTGATGGGTTACTATAGCGCCTACCCAAGATGAAACTTCTAACACTTTGCCTATAAGGTCTCATTTAGGACGTCCCTTTTTAAAACTGAGAGGTACAAACTTTTCAAGATTTCTACATAATTTCCTTTTAACGGTTCATCATTTTTCTGAATTGGATCTCACTGAAATTAATACCACAATTGTCAATATGTGATGCTTCTTTGTACTGGACAGAAATACAAATTGATAAAACCTTCTGTGTAATAGCTCTGTTTCATTATAATTATTTTGTTTCAGTGCCTCCTGATAAGCCAAAAAATATTTCCTGCATTTCATACTGGCGTGAAAACTTTACTTGTTCGTGGGACCAAGGGCGTGAAAACCATCTAAAGACTAATTTTACACTAACTAGAAAATTGTGAGTATAAAAATTACATATTGTACTTGATACTGAAACACTGGACTTGATACCAGTGTTTCAGTCATCTTCTTTGTGCCAATGAAAAATTGTGTCATTTAAGAACTACTTCGTAGATTGTTTCAAACCATGTACTGTATAATGATTTCACATTTTGTATTCATTTCCAGTACATTATTGGTACGGTGTTGCTGCTCTTAGAAAACTGCTAATGAGGGGTCAAATTCACTTTTGCTTTGGCATTACTTCCTGTTAGGTCTGTATATGCTGATGTTGTTATGTCAGTATTTAGTCATGACAGGGTCATTATAAGTGATTGAAAATCATATACTTTACACTATTGCTGCTGCGCTAGGAATAATTGATGATGAAACTAATGATGCTGCTCGGAAATGCCTCCAGTGGATACCCGAAAGAATTGTTAAGCTTTAAAAATTGTTGGAATTCCAGAAAAAAAATCTGCAGCAGTTTTTCATTTGCAGGGCATGTGAACACAGGACAGGATCTTGATTGAAGGGCTGTGAAGTAGTCCTGTGGCTATCATGTAGCACAGGCTGGTACATGCATGTTTAATAATTGTTATCTATGACCCGAAAGTTGACTTAAAGGAAATAGAATAATGATAATGAAGGGACATATTTAAACAAATAAGCATTAGTGGATGGAGAGTGAGAGATCATCTGTGCTAGAATCATCTCAGGAGATTTGAAGATGAGGTAGTTTAGGTAAGGTTGAGGTACATTTCCATATGAGCTCTCAAGGTGATGAAAAAGATAAAGAGTAAGCTGAAACTGAAAAAGTGGATGCATGACAGGTATACAGTTGATAATTATAAAATTAAAATAAATTCATAGGTTAAGTATAAAAAGAAATATCTAAGAAACATAGAGAATAAAAGAAGAGGCTGGCAACCAATATAAAAGGAAATCCAATAATCTTCTATAGGCATTGAGAGGAAACTGCGTAGTGGTAGTGTCACTGGACTTGTAATTCAGAGGCCCAGACTAGAGCTTTTGGGAGGATGGGTTAAAGTCTTACTGCAGCTGGTGTAATTTGAATTCAATTAATGGAGCTTTAATTAAAAACTGGTCTCATTGAAACTATTGTCAATTGTCATAAACCCCATCTGGTTCACTGAAGAGTACAGGGAAAAGAATCTGCCATTCTTGTCTTGTCTGTTACTCTCGGCCCACAGCAATAGGGTTGAATCTTAAATGGTTTAGTAAGCCTCCTAATTGAGTCAAGCCACTAACAAGCCTGAACAGAGGTATGAAACCAGATGGACCATGTATCAACAGGCTAGGCACTGGGAAAGACAGCAGCAAACCTGGCAAAGTCCTCCTTACTAACATTTGGGGGCTTGTGCCAAAATTAGGAGAGCTGTCCCACAAACTAGACCAGCAACAGCCTTATACATTCATACACTTAGAATATTCTTTACAATGGTTCAGACAACATGGTCACCATCCCTGGTATCACCAGAGGAAGCAGCACATGGAAAACAGTCAGGAAGGAGTTGCCTTGAGAGTCCTCACTGTTGTTCCTAGAGGATTTGGACAGTCTTAATGACAGGACAACAAAACAGAGATGGAATATAATGTGGAAAACCGTGAGGTTATCCACTTTGATAGGAAGAACAGAAGACGGTATGATGTCTTGTGGCATTGGATCAGACATGGGCAAAGAAATCTCCTGATTACCAACCAGCCCCTTTGCACATCCACACTTTCCAAAGTTTCACTATTTAAGAAATACTCTGCACATCTGTTCTGCCTACCAAAGTGGATAACCTCACATTTTTCCACATTACATTCCATTTCCGTATTCTTTTCCAATCACCAAGACTGCCCAAATCCTCCTGAAAATGTTTTCCACCTTCTTCACAATACACATTCTGGCATAACTTTGCATCATCTGCCATTTGCCATTACATTTGATCTCCACCTCCCAATCATTGATATATCTTGTAAATAGCTGGTCCCGAAGTACTGATCCTAGTAGTACCCGATTGGTCACAGTCTGCCAATGTTGAAGTGACCCATTTATTTCTACTGTTTGTTTTCTGTTTGTTAGCCAGTGCTTTAGCTTCTATACCATGTGCTTCAATTTTGCTAACTAGTCCCCTGTAGGGGATCTTATCAAGGGTCTTCTGAAGATCCAAATATATATCCAACAATTAGCCTTTGTAAATGTTGTTAGTAACTTTCTCAAGTGACTCCAAAAAGTTCATAAAACATGATTTTCCAATTGTAAATCTATGCTGACTATGCCGAATTAGATTTTTTTTCCCCAAGTGTAGATATCAAGCCCATTAAGATGGACTGTAATATTTTCCCTACTACTGGTGTAAGGCCGCTGGGTTTGTAGATTCCTGTTATGTTCTCTTGCTCTTTTCTTAAATAGTGGAGTGACATTTGCTACTTTCTAACTTGCAGAAATCATTCTAGAATCTATAGCATTATGGAAGATAATTAAAATGCATCAATGATCTCTATAGCCATGTCCTTTAACACTCTAGAATGTAGACTATTATATGCTGGGAACCTAACAACTTGTAATGCTATCAAATTCTCTTGTTCAACATTTTTACTAATATTAATTTCCTTCAACTCCTCTTTCTCCCTAGTCACTTTAATCTCTAATTCTGGGAGATTTCTTGTATCTTCCTCAGTAAAAACAAACACAAAGTGTTTGTGTGGATTCTATATGTAGTTTCTCTGTCATTTCTCTATTTTCCCTTAAAAATTCTCTTGACTCTACTTTTAACAGAGCAACATTTGTCTTAGCCAAACATTTCCTCTTTTACATGCAACGGAAGCTTTATAGTGCATTTTTATGTTTTTGTTAGATTGCATTAATATTCTATTCTTTCGCTCCTTATCAATTTCTGGATGCCCCTTTACTGTATTCCAAAAGCTTCCGATACTCCGATTTATAATTATTCCTGGCCATTTCATATGCCTTTTCCTTTAGTCTAATATAACCTTTAATGTTCTTCATTAGCCCTTGGACAGACTTATCTTTTTGTAAATTTTACCACTTGATGGAATATATAGTTGCTGTAAGCCATGTAATGATCTTTAAAGATTTTCCATTGCCTATGCACAGTCACACCTTTTAATGCATTTTCCTAATCCACCCCAGCCAATCTGTGCCTCATGCTTTCATAATTTCCCTTATTCAAATATAACATCTTGTATGCAGATTGACCTACCTCATCCACAAACATAATGTAAGTTTCTGTCATATTGTGTTCACACATCACTAAAGATTCTTTTGCAACAGGATTGTGAATTAGCCCTTTTCATTACATAACACTTTACAGCTAAAAAAGCATGTCCTCAACATACTGTTCTAGAAAATCATCTCTAACACATTCCGGAAACTGGTCCTCCACAGGTTTAGTGCACAGTTGGTTGACCCAGTCTGTAGGCAGATTAAAGTCACCCATGACAATTGTGTTGCATGTACTATGTGCTTCTCAAATGATGAATACCATGCCTTACACTACCAGTGCTATTTGGTGGCCTATTCATAAATCAAATTGAAGTTTACTGCCCTTTGTTATTTCTTAGTTCTACCCAAATAGATTCCACATATTGCTTTTCTAATCTGCGATCCTCGCTTTCCAAAGTACTGATCCCATCCCTTATTATTATTGAAGCTCTACTCTCTTTTCCTTCCTGTCTGTCTTCTCTAAAATTTTAATATCTGTGAATATTCAGTTCCCCACCATGAATCAGCCATGTTTCTGTATTGGCAATTAAATCAAAACCATTTACCTCTACTTGTGCCTTTAGGTTATCTACCTTGTTGTGAAAGTTTTGTGTATTCAGATGGAGTGTTTGTTTTTGAGAACATTACCTTTATACAATATTCTACATTCTAGGTATATATGATGCTAGGCTTTTTTTCTTCTGTCTCCTAGTTTCCCTCACAGCTTTTTGACTTCCTGATATTCACTTAACTCCTTTCCAATATGGGTTAACCGTTTGGGACAGCATCATTTTCTTGCCTCACTATCTTTTTATTGGTGCCGCAGTGCCATTATAACAGTACTTCCAAGATGTTCTTTTGCTTTTGCCATTTCAGCAATGATACCGTTATACAAACGTACTCATAGGGACAATAGCCAAGGACCACCGAGGAGAAAATTACAGCTCTTGGTTGATATAAATTGATTCACAAACAGCAAAGAAAAGCCTTTTCTTCCACATAGGCTCGACTTCATGGGTTGAAGCATAATAGATAGATTGGACGTTGACGATGGTGTATGTTACACTTTTTCTGTGATCTGCACTGATAGAGCCTGGTTAGCACTGGCAGGTTGATATTTTTCATGAAGTCCTGTCATTTAAATAATAAATTAAAAAGTAGG